TAACTTTTTAGGTAAGTGTATTGTTTCAACCTGCTGAAATGTGTGGCAATCAGAGGAGATGGTGAAAGCAAGAGTTGGTGGACTGGGAAAAAGGAGGAGGGAGTAGAAGGCTAGATGACAGTATGATTGGGGAATGTGAATGGGGCTAGTATAGACTTATGATCTGGCAAATGTTTTTGTGGAACTGAAGATTCTTGGATCAACTGGCACCTGCCCTATACCTAATTCAGGTGTGAGGCCAAAGAAAACACTCTTGGATAGTTAATGATTCTCTACATTGGCTACAAGAATGTGATATATTGAATTAGTAAGAAGTGGAGTAAGTAAGAACTCTGTTCTTTTGCCCTTCTCTTATACTGAGGTAATAATACAGATCATAGAATCTTAGAACAGAAGGAAAACTTAGAGATCAAACAGTCCAACTTGACACCCTACTGTACCCCACTCCACCCCACTCATGCCATTTTACAGATAAAGAAATTGAGAACCAGGGAGGTTAAGGGATTTGCCCAAAGTCACACTGGTAGAAGTAGATCTGAGCCTAGAATCAGGATTTCTGATGCTCTGTCTGGCACTTTTTCCATTTCACCACAGGATGAGGCCTTATGTCCCTGAGACATGAATCTTTACCTTCCCTCCCACATGCAAAGCTTCCACTGATGTCATTGTGTTACAGATGTTATCTGTATGTTAGGAAATACATTATTCCAGGGGAATTGGGCCTTGGCAGCAAAAAATGCCAAGTACCAGACCCACTAACTACTAGGAAAGGGGGAGAGGTCAGCTTGATATGTTTTAATGGGTTTCAGATACCAATTATTCTTGATTATTTGTGGAAGGAATTTCCATGCTAGCACAAATTGGACTAGATGACCTCTTAGGTCCCTGATTCAATTCAGTTCATAGGATCATAGATTTTGGGATAGATGAGGACTTAGAAATCCTCAAATCCAATCCCCTGATTTTACAGATGAGGAAAATGAGGAAAATTTCGTGCCAGAGAGGTAAGGTGAGTTGCCAAAGTTGCACAAGAAGGAAGTCAATGGTAAATCTGAGATTTGCAGATCAATGAATTAATAGCACAGTATTTTGCTTATAGTAAGTGCTTAATTAATGTTTATTCTTTCATTCATTCATTCATTCATTCAAATGTAGGTCCTCTGCTCTCAATCTAGTGCTCTATCCACTGTACCATCCTGTTTCTGTCTAACTTCAACAGATATGTTAATTGCCCAGTATGTGCCAGGTGCTGGCATACAAGGACAAGAAGGAAACAAATTCTGCCATGTAGGGGCTTGCATTATATTGGAGAGATACTACATAAGCAAATATAAGTCAACATGGAATATATAGAGTAATTTCAAGATGGGGAATATACCAACACCTGGGGATCAACAAAGGTCTTGTCTGTAGGAGGTATGATTTACGAAGCTCAGGAGTCTATCTCCAGCTTATATTCTCTGAGTAGGCACCAGAAATATAAGTTGGCTAAATAATTTTTAGGGAAAAAATATAGAGAAATGCTAAGATCTTCTGAAAGGCCTTGCAAAAGGATCTAGATATTCAATCTCAAGGATTATTGATTTGATTCAAGTTGATTCAGTTCAATTCAACAAAAATATAAAATGCTCCTAACTTTGAAAGCTAGGTTTACATTTTATTTAGTAGGCAATATGGAACCACTGAAGATTTTTGGGCAGTAGAATGATGGGACTAGATCTGGGTACAAGAAAAATGAATGAACAGAGGTATAAAAGACAAATTGGAAGAGGAGAGAATAGAGGCAGGAAGACTGTTTAGGAGGCAATTGTATCTGACTAGGTAGGTGGTAGTCAGGAGTGTGGTGGTACTGAGAGCAAAGCAAAGGATTTAGTTAATGTCTCCAGGCATATCTATACAAACTGCCATATCTGTATACTCAGCCTTTCTCTTGAGCTCCAGTCTTACATCACCAGCTACTTTTAGGATCAGGTATAAAATCTCTTGTTAGACATTTAAAGCTCTTCAAAACTGGACCCTTACTTCCTATTTATTCTTCTGAAACTCTTGTCCCCTCTATGTATTTTATATTGGCCTACTTGCAGGTCCTGGAATGTGACACTCCGTCTCTTGTTACTGTGACTTTGCACTAGCTTGGGATGCTCTAACCCCTTCAAAATCCAGCTCCAATCCTACCTTCTGCTCTTTCCCAGTCCTCCCAGCTGCCAAAGCCTTCCCTTCTCAGTTTGCTTTTTTTCTGCTTATATATTTTGCTTGTACCTAGTTATTTACCTGTTGTCCTCCCAATTAGAATATAAACTCTTCGAAAACAGGGGCTGGGTTTTTTTGACTTCCTTTATATCTCTATCCTTTAAACAGTGCCCAGGATGCTTAATAAATTTGAGCTGAATGAAGTAAGAGATATTAAAGAGGTCTGCTTATCCATGTCCTCAGTCCAAGTACATATTCCTTCTTCCATACTTTTCACTGAGAGGACCCTTGTACCCCTGCGCTCCTCTATGACAGATGCCCAGGGTAATCCAAGTGTGACTTTCTTTGGAAATTAAGATGAATCTTACTTCACTTTTTTTTTTCCAGATAAAGACCCATAATTCAGTACATGTGACACTCTGACCATTAAGCCAGAATATAATAAGATTATCCATATTTCAAGAAAAAACTTGTACTCTTAGACTTTGCAAAAGAAATATCCTTTGTCAGACTATGTTGTTTTTTGCTTTGAAAAATATGACGCGTTTATATGTAACTTTCTCTTTCCCATCAGGGTGTAAGTTGGAGAGAGGAATTGCAAATGAGGGATGACAAGGAAGAGGGAAAAGAAGAGAGAGAGAAGGAAAGGGAAGGAGAGATGGAATATTGTGGGAGGGAGAGAAACCCTGGTCAGAATCAGTAGCAAGTAGAAAAGGAAGCAAGCAGGCTGTGGAAGAAAAGTGGGTGCTGGTAAATGGCAATCTTTCTAGGGAGGAACTTTCTATTAGCAGCAACAGTTTATGACCCCAAGATGGACCATCTCTGTATCTCACCCCTGCTTTGCTGGAGTCCCTGGCAGAGTCAGTGATGGCACCTGCATCTGTGGTCTGGAGTGGGGTGGGGAAGGGTCCCTGCTCCCACTTCTTGACAGGTAGGGTAAAGACCATTTTCCTTTCACTTTAGGGAAGGGGCAACATACATTTCTGGAATCCCAAGTTGGAATTCTGAAGACATCTTCCCATAGGAATGTCATTACACATGGTAATTAAGTCCTACTATTGGTGGTTAGCATTAGTGCATAATTCTACTTCAGGTGTGGAGTGAAGCAAGCTTCTGTAGGCTAGGAATAGAAGTACCATGAAGGACAGTGCTTTTATGAGGAAATTCTGAATTCCAAACAAATTTTGGAACACAAACACTTTTGGAACGCAGCTCATGAATAAGTTGGGTGCTGCCTATACAGTTAGCTAGTGCATTAGGATACCCATTTACTTAATGGTGGTGCATGAGTACATTGAAAGCATTCCAAAGTATCCAATATTTTTCCTGGACAGAAATCTAATCCCAGGGAGAATGCAAGAGTGTTATTGAAATGTGGTCTTTGGTACAGGAAGGGTCAGATGGGCCTGTCCCACTGTATGAAGCAGCTTGAGTTCTATTCGTATCATAAAAGTACAGTAACTATCTAGTCTAACCCAGGTCTGAAAAAAGAATTTCCCCCATCTCATCTCCTTTAAGTAATCTTCCAGCTTCAGCCTGAAGACTTCCAGTGATGGGGAAGTCATTTCCTATTGAGGTCACCCAATCCTCTTTTGGAGAATCTAGATGTTAGGAAGTTTTTTTTTTTTTCTGACATCAATCCTAAATTTGTCCTTTACAAATTGCTACTTTCCACCTAATTTTTCCTTTCAGGAAGGACAACTTTTATTCCTCTTCTATGTAATGATGGCCTATATAATTATCCCATGACCGTTGAAATTTCATCTTTTTGACTAAAGTACATGCTTCTTTTTCTGGGTGTGTCTTGGCCCTTCTCCCCACTCATATAAGTTTAATTTGATATCTGTGAGCAAGACATGTTAACTATCCTTGGAAGTATTCTATTTGTACAATATAAAGTATCTATTTCAATTGGGTAAAGGGGGAGCTGTAGATCAGGAAAGAAGACCATTATAATCTTGATTGACTTGCCTTTAGTGGGGGCCATTTCACCCATCAATGATATGGATTCAACAAACCTTGCCACATTTAACCAACATTTATAGACATGCCTTCTCTATGCCGCCAAACTGGCTTATAACTTCATTTCACGGATCCATTAAGCTAATTGATAGAAGTCTTGCCAGATAAATACAGTCTCCTACTTGAGGCTGTTCACAAGGAGCTATTGTTTGTCATTTGGTTGCATCCTGTTACCAAGCTATATAATGAAATGTTGAAACCTAGTGTGCTCCAATTATTAAGGGAACACACCCAATGGAAGATGTAAAGTCTGATTTTTGAACTAGAGTTTATTTCTGTCTATGATCTCATGTTTGATTAAAACAGAACAACCCTTAAAAAACCCAAACCATGCCCAGACGACAGCATACTAAGCTTTGAAATACACCCATCTTTTAGTGGGATAAATTGCTTGTTTGTTCCATACCTCTGGGCTCTCATTGACTTCAAAAGGAATTTCTTGCCAGGATTAAATCCCTATGGGATTTGGCCAAGACTGTCAAAGGTGAAATCCTTGAGGCCAGATTATCAAGGTTACCTAACAAATATTGGGAAATTCAAAAATAATAAAGGAGACCGTGTTTTTAACTTATTTCCTTAACTTATTTCCTTTTAACTTATTAACTTAATGTCTAGAAGACATTAGCCTCATGTAAATACTACTAGTAGATGGATGTTCCTTATGTTTATGAGAGAATTAATAGAGCAGCATGGGTTTTTTCCTTCCCCCAATGGAGATTTTATGTTAAATTGTTAGCACATTTAGAAAAGACAAATAAAATCTCATTGAAAAGAAAGTCCAAAGTTACCTTCAAATGCTGGTGTTTTAGCTTTTCTTCCTCTACTTTCAGGCGCTTTTGTGAGATTTCTTCTTGCAATTTCCTTTTGTCCTACAATGGAAAAAACCATAATTCATTTTTACAATTAACTTAAATATCTCACCCTGCTATTGATGTCATTTGTATGCTGTTGGCTTGGGTTAAAGCCCCACAGGGTGCCCTGGGGATGCATATTCTAAGACAAAAGAAAGTAAAATGAGATTAAGAAAAACTCTTGAGAGAAACACAAGATTCCATTTTAAAAATTCATTTAAATAACCCTATTATTTATCTCTCTAGCCATTCTTCCCTTCCTTTTCGTTCACTTTTAGCCTAATATGGAGAGTCTTTAGCGTGAGTATATGGAATTGAATGACTTATTGGTCAAAAGCATTTTAAGGAGACAATTTTTAAAGGAGACAAATTTAAAATTTTAAAACAGAGATGGAAGCATCAAATGAGAAAAGTCTTTTTTGGCATGAAAATGTAAATGGAACGATGAATAGATGGCAAAGAACAAGAAGCTCTTAGCGATATGGCCTTCTAGGGTATAGGGAGCGGGAAGGAGAGCCTGCCAAGGTTTCCATAGGGAAGAAGCTTAGATACATGGTAAATTGGAGAAGCTAGGTGGCACATTGGATAGAGTACTAACCCAGGAGTCAGGAGGACCTGAGTTTAAATTTGACCTCAGACACTAGACACTTACTAGCTGTGTGACCCTGGGCAAGTCACTTAACCCTATTGCCTAGCCAAAAAACAAACATACAACAAAAAAAGAAACTTGGTAGATTTCCTTCTTAGCAGGATTGCATTGCTAACAGTTGGGGAAAAAAGGGCAGAGATGAAGTGTAATAATACTAAAATTTGTTTCTGTGCAGAGGTAAAGGTGAATGGATACAGTAATGGTGCTCAGTCCTTGAGATCACATTTCTATCACAGTATCAATGACTATGAGATGTGACTATAAAGTAAGGAGACAAAATTTTGGCAAAAATATCAGAGCTTCTTCAAAGTATTTATTATGATAGAATCTATGCTTATTCCAATAATGCTACAATTGTTCTGATCATTCTCAGCACTTTTTGGCAACTGCCTTCAGAACCCGTTAAATTAAATTTGACAAGTATTTATTCAACATACAAGGGATTTTGGTAGACATTGGGGATATAAAGAGGGATGGAAAATGGTGCTTGCCCTGAAAGACTTTAAATTTGTTTTTGGGTTGGCTTGGAGGGTGGGGAGGCTACAGGAATTGTCATTTAAGCATACATCACTTTAAGGTTTGCAAAGCACTTTATAGAGATGACCTCAGTTGATTCCTCATAACAACATTTTGAGATTGGTGCTATTATTAGCCCCATTTTATTTATCAGAGCCTGAGGAACTGAGGCTCAGATGGACTGACTTCCCTAAAGCCATAGTTTAAAAGTATCTGAAATGGGGTTTGATTCAGATTCAGATATTCCTGACTGTGGTACATTTTCAGTTTTTGAGGGGGAATTTAATTTTTTATAAACAGTCAGAAGTGAGCTTGATCCATGGGTGGCAAATAAAGTAGAAGACCAAGGGGGAATACTGTGTTTTGTTCCCAACTGTATAACTTTACTATGACTGTGAAGAAATCAGATCAATGTTGTGTAGCTTACACTGAAGGCCATTCCAAAAGAGATTTCTAAAAACATCTTGAGAAGGGACAGCATTTTGAAAGAAGTGTACAACCTTCCAAGATGACTGTGTAAAAGGGCATGTCATGCTTCAGTTTTAAGCACTGTCCTCACTGTGTGTAAGAAGATAATGTGATTTTATCCATGTTACCTACAGGAAGAGCCCCTCTTCTATTTTAAAGCACAACTATTAGGGGTTTCTTCTTTACAACTGTACTTTCGAGACCAGGCCAAAGAGAACTGATGCTACTCTGAAAACCATGCTAAGTCAGTTACCTCCTTGATCTTTGAGACATCATTCAAGCAATACAGAATTTCTCCTTCCCCCTAGAATGTAAAAAAAACAGTGAAGGCTAATAATTGTGAGGAAGGCAGCTTGACACAGTGGAAAGAATACTTACTCTGGACTTTGAGGGCTTGGGTTCAAATCCAACTTCTACCTATGGAACCTTGGAAGAAACATTTAACTTCTCTGGGCCTCAGTTCTCTTATCTATAAGACAAGAGGGTTGGACCAACTGGCCTCTTGAGTGCCTTCTAGTTCCAGATTTATAATTCTATGATTTTTTTTCAATTTTCCTTTTATACCCCTAGGATCCTAAATACCACCAGTATAAATGTCCACATGTGATAAACAGGTGAAGTGGTCCATAGGATGGAGTGTTTGTGTCATGGAGAGTCCCCTCACCCTAAGCAATGCCTTTGCCCTCTGCAGCAAATGGTATTGTTTGGACAGTGGCAGCTTGGGGTCAGAAAAGTGGCTAGAGGTGGGAGCAGGGATCAGAGCCATTTTGGGACCAGTAGACTCATCCTGGTGCTGTTAATGCATCTAACAACTAAAGACTAAAGTAGTGAATATTATGTATCAGTCAGAATGGGCAAGGTTCTTCACTCCAGCTCCCAAAGTATAAGGTAAATGTTTGGAGAAGGTGACATTTTATTTTAAGATACGTTTTCATCATAAGCTATTTTTTTCTGCAACCTCTACCAATGGATTACATTTCACTGAAGTCAGAAAATGCCCCTCCCTCCTTTATGTACACAAACTCTGTATGGAATGCTTCATATACTCTCAGATGGGGCTGATGTGTTGGTCAGTTTTGTTGAGTGGCTTTTTTTCCTTTGTTTTAACATCTTTTTTGCAGTGGGTGAATGAGTGCATAGGAGGTAAGGGTGAGGGAAGGGATATATATATTTAGCATTGAAAGTATATAAAAACAAAACTATTAGTAAAATTAAAATAAAAAGTCATTGAAGTCTGTTAAAATTATAAAAGATATACTTATTTGAAAACCATTGGCTTCAATTTTTTTTTTCAAATGGAAGAATTAGCACCAAGGATATTTAAAACGTGTTAATTCTCATTGGTAGTGTACCAAATTTCATAAAATCATGCAACTCCTTCAAAGGATAGTGTAGAACAGTAAGCCAGACATAAAACAACAGGGGTTGATTTGAAACATAGACTTCAGTACATTTGATTATCTCTATCCCCAAGATGTCTTCAGGAGATAGAGTGCTTCTATTGAATCCATTAAGCCAATAACCTAATTATATTATTAGCATTACAAATAACAATAACAATGATAGTTGGCACTTACTGAAGTGCTTGATGGTTTACAGAGTATTTTACATTTGGTATCTCATTTGCTTTTTACATCAGTCTTGTGAGTTAGGTAGTGTATTATTGTTCCCATTTTTCAGATGAGGAAATGGAGGCTTAAAGAAGTTAAATGATTTGTCCAAGGTCAAACATGGTAAAGTCTGCTCATAAGCCCAAGGGTCTTTCCATTACAACATGCTGTCACTTATAAATATGCCTAAAGAATCATTTTACAACATTATCCACTATGAACAAGTCAAATCATTATTATTCCTTCAAAAGAAGTTTTAAACAATTACATAGTTTTCTGGGTTTCTGGCTCTGTCAATCCCCTAAGAGTCCACTTGTTTAAAAGGATGCTTTCTTTTTCTTTGAAAATTACATGCAACTAATATCAATGTGATTCTAACCACACAAGAGCCTATAACACACCATTATATTACATCAAGTAATACGATGAGTACAATTTATTGTACATACAAACACTCCATCCTATGGACCTCTTCATCTATTCATTACATGGGAGCATTTATAGTGATGGCATTTAGGGTCCTTGTGTAGATATCTTTTAAAATGCTAAATATTAACAGTGAGACAGTTTTGTAGCATACACAGCTCTATTGTCTATAGTACGTGGGATGACAAGACAAAATAATGAGGCAGTACAATATGCCTTTCTGGGTCAGCCAGCTTTTTCTATAATAATAGATGTGATTGGAAGTGACGTGACTGGAAGATGGCAATGGGACAAACATGTTTTTTTCAAAAGAAACATCTAATGGAAAAGGCAGGGAAATAGAATTGAAATAGAGTTGAAAGAGACCACAGAAGTAACTTCTACCTTTTGGAGCATACTTGTATCAGATTCTGCAATATCCCAACCTTCTGTTATTCATGCATTAGGAAACAGGATAGAGTGAATAATTAATCTGCACTTATTCAAACCACATTTCAGAAAATAATTTCATTCTCCTTTCCTCTCAAACAAGCATTACATCCTAACACTAGCCAAAACTGACTATTTTGAATTTTACTACCTTTTATTTCCTAGCTTATTTTTTGGTGGAAGTCCTAGGAAACAGGCAACCGAGCAAAATACCATGAATTGACAGAGAAGAGGCTTGGATAGATTGAATCTTTAGTCCCTAAAAAATCAAGAGACAACTGTAATGACATGGGCTTTTGTGTACCCAGCAATTAGCACAATGCCTGGTTCATATTAAGTGCTTAATAAATGCTTGTTAACTGACTGACTAAAGGGAAGGGGGAGGGGTAAAGGAATAAGCATTTATTTAGCCCTGACTGATTGGCACAGGCTTACATAGACTCAAACTTGAAGCCAGTGGTGGTAGAGTGGAGTGAAACTCTCAATTTGAAAAATCTTGACTGATTTTTCCTTTAGAGGGACATTTTATTTATCCATCCATCCATCCATCCATCATCCATCCATCCATCATACATCCACCCATCCATCCATCCAATATAGAATGACTACATTGTATAAGACCCTGCTCAATACTGTGGGAAATTAAAAGACATACTCACTGCCTTTATTTGTCTTATATGTAGGGATCGAGGTGAATAAAAGACAGGGAAATGGTATTGGATGGATGAATAGATGGAATAAACTTTTATTAAGCATCTATTATGTGCCAGGCACTAAGCACCTTACAAATATTATCTCATTTGATTCTCAGCCATAGATGATGTAGATGCTATTATCATCCCCATTTGACAGTTGAGCCAAAGTGATTTGCCCCAGATCACATGACTGATAAACATCCTGACTCCAGGCCCAGCATTCTA